CTCACCAAGCTAAACCCTCGGGTTGCGCTCTGGTCGCCGGGTTGTGCTCGCCCTTGAGAGAACAATTCCCTTAGGCCGGAAATATTACCGTTCATTGCATATATGACGGACAAAGCTGTGTCTGGAACTACATTTTGGACGGCGAGCGGCCGCTGGGGTCCCGACTCATAGATGTAAGGCGTCGAGTTCTGCTCGCCGCCAATAGCGCCGTTGATAAACCACTGGCGAGGCCCGGAGTACTCGCGAGAAGGTACGATTGAATATGTCGTGTGTCGCTGCTCAGTGTTCACTGCAACGCCCCGGTACGACCTGTTGTCCTCAACCAGGACGACCACATCAGATACTGGCTCCACGGAAGGTGGTTCACTAGAAATGCCCACAAGCTCCTCATCGCTTGTACCGGGGGCCGGCTGGGTGATGAGACTATAGGGTCCTCCTGTGCCTTGCGCAGCTGATGGATGGCTTGCCCCAGCAGGAGAAGCCTGAAGATGGTGGGGAGCTTGAACCCCAAAATGATCTCGACTCGGAAAACTCAAGTTGGTATCGATGTGCTGCAGTCTATCGCTTGTCATCAGCAGCGGGGGTGAGGCTTGTTCGATGTACACAATGGGTGCGGGTGAAGTTTTTCGTTTGCGCTTGCGCCCTGGCGGTGTCTGACTGTCTGCCCAGACACTCGCTTGCGTTTCGTATAACGTCAGTAGAGCATCAACTTGCCTTCCACACCGTTCTGAACTTTTCCGATCAACCGACCTAGCAAGTTCCTCGAGAGACTGTTTGTCCCATCGATGTGTCACGCTGAATGATCGGTCAGAGCGCGGCTTTTGGCTTGGAGGGTGGGCTCACTTCGACATGGGTATGGCTAGGCCGCAAATGAGTGCTCCAGGGCCCCCCACTTTACCCAAGCAGCTTTTCAGCCGGTCACCTGCTGTTGCGAAAAAGTTGCAGTTTTGTCTGATCTTCCGTTTCTCCTCTTCAGATCCCTCTTCCTTCACTGTGATGAGGTACCTCGTTAGCACGCTTCGGCCAAGACCAGAACCGCCCTTGGCCTGTAGGTTGCTAAACGCTACGAGCAACACGTTTCTTTTGGCAACCTCAAATGTGGTCCTGGATAGACTGAGCGGTACGAGTTCATCGTAGAGGTGGATCGGAAAATCGTTATCAGGCTCGCGGACGATCTGTTGCTGCACCCATGCCTCAGGATCTCCTTTTGGATCATCTGTTGGGCCGAAGCGGGGGATGAATTTGTTCTTGACGATATCGGCTACGGAAGAAGGCAGCTTGTCCCAATTCGATTTGATTTGCTCGAGGAAAACCTCTATAGCGTCAAGAAACTGTATACCGTGAGTGAGTTTCCGGCACGGGCGAGAATGGCGGTACCTCCGGGACTAGCAGTCGGTCGGGGGGGTTATCCCCGCTATCCCCGCTTATTTCTTGACATGCTCGCAATAGCGCATCTGCAAATTGACGACTTTCCATGTTTCCCATGGTGTGAGCGTTTGTTTAGAGGCAGCTGTGACGAGGCTGTGGCGGAGGCAGCGTCGGTTGCGCAGGCTTTGTGGATGTTGTTGGCAGAAGAAGTGGTGATGGCTGTGGATGGAGGACAATGTTAGACGAGCAGGGGTTTTTAAGTGAGCTCGTCTAACATCTGGTCGGCGGCAAGGACAATGTTAGACGAGCAGGGGTTTTTAAGTGAGCTCGTCTAACATCTGGTCGGGGCAGGGGGAAATGTTAGACGAACAGGG